GCAAGTGCAAGTATCGCAAACAAGTAGTAAAAGTGGACTTATGAGATTCGGATGTCGATCCCACGGGAGAATACTCAAATTACTTAATTCTAAGTACCCAATTCTAACAACTATGATTTTTATCCAGCCTACGCAAGGTTGTCAAATTTAATCAACTAAATAATTAAACTATGTATGAAAGCAAATAAACACGAGAATATATCAAGAAAAACGGATTTAGGATTTTATCTCCTCCCTATGCGATAATTCATCACCCAATTAAACCTCTATTATGCAAGTTACGATTCCTGATTATTAACCCGAGACACTAACTTACTCGTAACCCGCTGTCGCGTGTATTATGAGTCTATTATTCATAAACGGTTCACTATATGTCTATGCAAACTAATTATGAATAAAGCATTAACTAACAAGTCTCGTAAACGGCTACCTAAGGTGATATCTGTATGTCTACGACATCCCATGCAATTGACACACTCATCCGGTGAAAACTACTTGAAGGCTCTTCTATCCCTGTTATAATTAAAACAATCTGTCGATTCAATTCTAACAATAACACATAGCAACATAAATTAGCTAGATTCATGCACTAAATAAGATCAGATAAAAGAAATAATCATGGAATTTAAACTTGCCTAATATTAGAAAAATAGGTTCAAATGACCACATAGGGTTCGAATAAAATCCTATATTAAAAACTTAACTACTCATGTTCTGTACGAAAAACATAATAGAAATATAAAAAGACATAGATTTATAGAAGATAGATAAAAGAACAATTATGATGAAGATTCGTCAAGTCTTCGTCTTTGATTCTCCGTTCTCTTGCTTCTCTTGCTCTAAGATTATGTAAAAAGTCCTCTCTTTTATTGTGTGCTTGAATTGGTCTTATATAGGGTGGAAAACTTGGAGAAGAAGGTAGTTTCCTTGTGCAATTAAGATTCCTTTACTGCACCTCTACGTCTTTTCGGACGGCCGTCTGGATTTGCAGTTCAAATTCTAGACGGCCGTCTCAATTCCAGAGACTTTATTCCTCCCATGAAAATATTCGGACGGCCGTCTGGATTTCTAGTGTATCGTCCGGGCCCTAATTCTTCAGATTTTTGACTTCTTTACTTTTCGCCCATATTTTTTTTCTAAATTGCAGTTTTGACCCTGTATTTATCCAATTCTTCAATTTGTACCTAAAACACAATAAATCAACACTTTAAACACCAATCATCAATAAAATACACCAAAAGCTCCAATTAAAAGATACGATTAAGTGTAAAAATATACACTTAACACACCTCCAAGCTTGAACTTTTGCTTGTCCTCGAGCAAAATCTATTCATAAACAAATAACTCAACTACTACATCTCTTTACATAGATTAATGACCAACTTCACGTTTTAAGAACTTGTAATTATAATGAAAAGTCTTACGCATTCGCAAGCTCAAAATTCAAAAGCACTTAGTCACTTACCATTGCCAAAAACCACAAATCATGCAATTGCTTCAAGCATCCAATATTTGTAAATTAAAGATAGAAAAAAATTATGCTTACATGCATATGTTTGCCTCCAAATACTCACCAAATTCTTTTACTCTACTAATACCGAATATTAAGCTATTGGGATCATTGGGGCTTTTTGGCTTTAAATTGTTAGGCTCTTTGGTTCGAGGTAAGAAATATGGGTATATGTGGCTATGCTTCTTGAATTGAGGTGATTACGCCAAAATTTTAAAGATAGGCGTTTTAAACAATGAATTCACCTCTAAGGACTTTAATAAACTTGATTCTTAAGAGTTCAAAAGTTTCCACTTTTGCTCTTCAGACAATGGATCGAGCCTTTAAAAACAATTCAACAACTAGTACTTTCTTCTCCCTTCTAGTCTCTTCTTCTCTCTTTCTTCTTTTTTTTTTTTTTTAATATATATATTTATATATATCTTTTTCTTTTCTCTCCTTTTTTTTTTGTTTTTTTTCCGAAGAGGAAGAAGAAGGACCTTATAAATTTTTCCAACCAAACTCCAAGGGGTAACTTTTCAAGAATCTCAATCTATTCTACCTTACACGTATTGACTAAAAGAAAGAACACCTTTTCTCCAAGGCTCAAATCAAGGTTCTAAGGATAATTTCGATAAAAAGGTCGGCTTGAAAGGCTCAAACGTTTCAAAGAAGTCCCAAATCATCTCCCAAATCACTCACTACTCAATACTTCGTATCAGAAGTTTCATAAGGTGAGCTCTAAAACCGAAGATAGCATGATCTAACACAAATTAATTCCAAATTTAAAATACAAAAAATTCAACCAAAGCAATGCACAAAATGTGATTCTTAGCAATAATTCGTTTCTAAATTCCGTTGACCCGAAAGCTAAACAAACATCTTATCCTTATCACAACAAAACAAGAAATCTCATCATCAAACATTGATCATCTCTCATCATCATAACTCATCGATGCATTCGACTTAAGCAAACAACTAAAGAAATAAAAACATCTAAAATAAAATAAAATAACCTAAGGCATGCACACTAAAGCAAATAAGCACAAATAAATGTATTTTCACCCCCAAACTTAAACTTTTCATTGCCCTAACGAAACTAAAACAAAGTTCAAGGATAGAAAACACTTGATTTAGTCGGAATCATCGTCATCGGGGCGTAAGAATTGATGCGGGATTCTTTTTTTTTTTTTTTGTGTGTGTTGAGACGGCCGTCCCAGAATCTGCACTTATTTTCGGACGGCCGTCTCAAAAGCAGAGCCTTGAATTTCAAGTCTCTGGATTTCAGACGGCCGTCTGAAAAATGAAGGCCTTTTTCG